TGACGTAAAAAACTTTAACCCCGAAGAGCAATTAACTGCAAATTTGCATGTTAGACGGCCAACCTTGGCGGTATGACGTCACTCGCGAGTAACTCATTGTATTTGTACGCAAAAAAAATATATTGTACAACCCAATGAAAGGTGTACATTAACAAAACGAAGGTTTCGAAATTTTGAAAAACAAATAAAAATGTCCAAAGTGAAGCAGTTCAGTTTTCAATTAACTGCTTACAAGCAAAGACTTGTACAATCGTCTGAAAATGACAGTAGTGAAGAACTAAAATGCTAATTCTATTAAGTCTTGGCCTTAAAAAAAAAGGTGGAATGTTACAAAGCACTACATTATGTACGGGCCCTATTCAAGTTTCAAATTGTCCTACATTAGTACATTCAGTAAATTAAAAAATGTATAACGGCTTTTCGACAAATTGGACAAAATTTAACATTAGCATTCAACAGATGCCTCAAAAAGTGTTGCCTCACATTTTTAATTGTTCAGGGGTGTCATTTCTAACAGTTGTACAAATATAGTACTTTTCAAAGGCGCGCTCTGAGCAAAATCCCGATTGATTGCAGGCAATGTTGTGAACAAGCCGGAACACGGCGCACTCGACTGGGTGAAAATTTCCGTAAAAAATTGTACAACTGGAATTTTTCAAATCCCATCAAAAATTTCATTGTTCCAAACGGTATTTATTTAAAAATTGTAGAATTAATTTCAAATTGTACTACGTTTGTACATTTAGCAAATATGCGAGTTTTACCGCCAGTTTTTTATAGAAATGTACAAAATTAAAGTATACGCCCCAAACCATTGAACCTTCAAAATAATATCCAAGACAATCGCAAACAAAACAAAATGAACGTTTCCCCCAAACTTTTGAAAAATAAATTAATAGTCTTTTAATGAAAAACTAGTACTACACAAATACAGAGCACAAATGGCGTAGAAAACTTTAACCCCGATGAGCAACTATTTGCAAATTTGCATGTTAGACGGCCAACCCTGGCGGTATGACGTCACTCGCGAGTAACTCATTGTATTTGTGCGCAAAAAAATGAATTGTACAATCGAATGAAAGGCGTACATTAACAAAACGAAGGTTTCGAAATTTAAAAAAAACAGATAAAAATGTCCAACGTGAAGCAGTTCAGTTTTCAATTAACTGCTTACAAGAAAAGACTTGTACAATCGTCTGAAAATGACAATATTGAAGAACTGAAATACAAATTCTATTAAGTCTTGGCATTAAAAAAAAAGGTGGAATGTTACAAAGCACGGCATTTGGTACGGGCCCTCTTCAAGTTTCAAATTGTCCTACATTAGTACATTCAGTAAATTTTAAAAATGTATATCGGATTTTCGACAAATTGTACAAAATTTAACATTAGCATTCAACAGATGCCTCAAAAACTGTTGCCTCACATTTTCAATTCTTCAGGGGTGTCATTTCTAACAATTGTACAAATATAGTACTTTTCACAGGCACGCTCTGAGCAAAATCCCGATTGATTGCAGGCAATGTGGTGAACAAGCCGGAACATGGCGCACTCGACTGGGTGAAAATTTCCGTAAATAATTGTACAGCTGGCATTTTTCAAATCCTATCGAAAATTCCATTGTTCCAAACGGTATTTATTTAAAAATTGTAGAATTAATTTCAAATTGTACTCCGTTTGTACATTTAGGAAATATGCGATATTTACCGCCAGTTTTTTATAGAAATGTACAAAATTAAAGTATACGCCCCAAACCATTGAACCTTTAAAATAATATCCAAGACAATCGCAAACAAAACAAAATGAACGTTTCTCCCGAACTTTTGAAAAATAAATTAATAGTCTTTCAATGAAAAACTCGGACTATACAAATACAGAGCACAAATGCGTAAAAAACTTTAACTCCGAATAGCAATTAACTGCAAATTTGCATGTTAAACGGCCAACCTTGGCGGTATGACGTCACTCGCGAGTAACCCATTGTATTTGTGCGCAAAAAAACAATTTGTACAATCGAATGAAAGGTGTACATTAACAAAACGAAGGTTTCGAAATTTTGAAAAACAAATAAAAATGTCCAAAGTGAAGCAGTTCAGTTTTCAATTAACTGCTTACAAGAAAAGTCTTGTACAATCGTCTGAAAATGACAATATTGAAGAACTAAAATACAAATTCTATTAAGTCTTGGCCTTAAAAAACAGGTGGAATGTTACAAAGCACAGCATTTTGTACGGGCCCTATTCAAGTTTCATATTGTACTACATTAGTACATTCAGTAAATATAAAAAATGTATAACGGCTTTTCGACAAATTGTACAAAATTTAACATTAGCATTCAACAGATGCCTCAAAAAGTTCTGCCTCACATTTTCAATTCTTCAGGGGTGTCATTTCTAACAATTGTACAAATATAGTACTTTTCAAAGGCACGCTCTGAGCAAAATCCCGATTGATTGCAGGCAATGTGGTGAACAAGCCGGAACACGGCGCACTCAACTGGGTGAAAATTTCCGTAAAAAATTGTACAACTGGCATTTTTCAAATCCCATCAAAAATTCCATTGTTCCAAACTGTATTTATTTAAAAATTGTAGAATTAATTTCAAATTGTACTACGTTTGTACATTTAGCAAATATGCGATATTTACTGCCAGTTTTTTATAGAAATTTACAAAATTAAAGTATACGCGCCCAAACGATTGAATCTTTTAAATAATATCCAAGACAATCGCAAACAAAACAAAATGAATTTTTCCCCCGAACTTTTAAAAATAAATTAATAATCTTTTAATGAATAACTTGGACTATACAAATACAGAGCACAAATGACGTAGAAAACTTTAACCCCGAAGAGCAATTAATTGCAGATTTACATGTTAGACCGCCAACCCTGGCGGTATGACGTCACTCGCGAGTGACTCAAGGTATTTGTGTGCAAAAAAAATAAATTGTACAATCGAATGAAAGGCGTACATTAACAAAACGAAGGTTTCGAAATTTTTAAAAAACAGATAAAAATGTCCAAAGTGAAGCAGTTCAGTTTTCAATTAACTGCTTACAAGAAAAGACTTGTACAATCGTCTGAAAATGACAATATTGAAGAACTAAAATGCTAATTCTATTAAGTCTTGGCCTTAAAAAAAAAGGTGGAATGTTACAAAGCACTACATTATGTACGGGCCCTATTCAAGTCTCATATTGTACTACATTAGTACATTCAGTAAATATAAAAAATGTTTAACGGCTTTTCGACAAATTGGACAAAATTTAACATTAGCATTCAACAGATGCCTCAAAAAGTTTTGCCTCACATTTTCAATTCTTCAGAGGTGTCATTTCTAACAATTGTACAAATATAGTACTTTTCAAAGGCGCGCTCTGAGCAAAATCCCGATTGATTGCAGGCAATGTGGTGAACAAGCCGGAACATGGCGCACTCGACTGGGTGAAAATTTCCGTAAATAATTGTACAGCTGG